AGATAACCGTATTCTTTAGAGAATATTATCTATTTCCCATGATTAAAATTGATGCAGTTAAAATGTAAATTAAAAAAATTTTTAATGAAGTTTGAATTTCATAATTTATTTTTGATAAGCGAGTAATTATTATTACTAGAGCAAGTTTGTAAATATTGTAGCATCATGACAATATCGGATTTATCAATACTTAGAGATAAACAACATATAAATATCGGAAAGGGTAGGTTTGATAGCAGGTTTGCAGTTTTAATTCCTTCATAGCAAACTTGGGTTTGCTAGATGATGTATAACGACATACTGTCCCATCCAAATTCCTGCGAGTTAACTTGCTTTAACAAATAAATTGAATTGTATTATATTTTTATTATTTCTATTACGGTCAATTGTATTCGTTTATATCATAATAATAAATAGTTGCAAGTAAAACAGATGATACAAATAATTTATTAAATTAAGCTGTTTACGTTTTTGACATGCTACCGAATCATTAATGACTTTCTTGTACGATATAACGAATACGCTGATGTGCAAAGAGATGAGTAAATAGTCTAAACTGTAATTATGTTATTGACTGACTAGTAGATACGGGAAATCCAGCTATAATCCAAGCAAAATTACTGACACACTGTTTGTCCTCTTTATTAAAGAAATATACGTATGCTATCTTTTTTACTATTCAACTGATGTAATGAAACTAAGGAGCTGTAAGATTTTGCCAACAAAATTTACTTAAACTCTTCCAATATTATACCAGTTTGCTTTCAAATAAGCTACATCTCTCGTAAATTAAAAAGAAATACATGTTTAGTTTATCAAGTTCCAACATTCTTTATTATTAGCATAATATAATATTAAGCATTGCTTTAATAGTCAATAATCTTCCAAATATTTCTTGAAATAAGCTAGAAAGTTGTAATTATCTGAGACTAAATACAATCTTCCTAGGAAAGGGACTCATGCAATGATCGAATGAAATTATAAGTGATCGCAACTTAAATAATTGCGGATGGAATTAACATTAATTGTTTAAAAATTAATAATTTACTTGCATGAAAAGATTATTTTTTAAGTCTTTCTATTAGAAAAGGCGGATAAACAAACTATTCAAGCTGAAAATAAAATTTCTCCATTATCTATTTCCAGACAGAAGATAAATAATGTAGCTAAACTATCGCAAGCAAGCATTTTAATGATTTGCTAAGAAGGAAAGCGCTTGCAAACTTCGCTATTTATCTGAGCCAGCCTTACCATCAATTTATCTTTCATCTCTAAATTCAGTCTTTGTATAGTAGAATAGCAAAAGATATAACTATGATGGAATTACAGAAGATATTATAAATTAAAATTGGTAACATTGCTCTATCATACTTCTACTATTGTCTTCATTTCCTGGAAATTACTAGAAACTTATGAGATTGGACAAACATGTCTTCACAACTTTCCGTTCATAATAAAAAATTAAATTCGGCTTTGTTATTTCAAGCAAACAATAGTTAGTTGTTTATTCTATCAATGGCTGTATCTTGTTTGCTATCTGCGCATTTCGGTATCTGTAAAAATACAGTTATGCTTTAAGAAGAAACTTCATCAGCTAGTACAGCCAATAATTTTATTTAACACCAACGGTAGTGTGCTATCTAATACCGTAAGTACGCTTTGAAATATCTGACTTTGTGCTATGTATTCACCTGAAATCATTCTTATCCAGTTAATAACTGCTATTGTCTACGATTTTAAGAGGAGCATGGTATCTGCCCAAATTGGTAAGAGTAATATATCACAGACACAGAAAAAGTAAAGACTGTAAGACCATGAACAAAATTCGACAAACAATTTAGTCACGTTTCTAAATTGAATGGAATATTTTGCCCTTGCACGAGTTGCACACGTTGCTGCATAGGTCCGGTTTTAACGTAAAATTAATAATTGATGATAAAAAATGATGAATTAACATAGTAAATATCATAATGAAAGTATATAAGCCACTAAATATAGTTAATGTAAAGACCTACAGTTTTACTCTAACAATAAACCTCTGATGTTAAAAATATGTCTTCAATGCCTTTCTGAAATGTAGTAGTACGTCAATGAAGCTGGATTATCATGAGTTCCCTTAGAGTTAGTAGCGTGATTTTAGCAAAATTTAATGATTTTGGAATCTAACTATGAGTAATTCAATCTATAGTTGAGTCTTTCGTTTCATCCTTATACCTTAGACAGAAGCTGAATAACCTAGTGGTTGTGAATATGATCGATTAAATTTCAAAATTACTAGTTACATTAACCAAGATAATGTCGGAGCAGTTTAAAATATTAACATTAAATAAAATTTAGCATTGCTGCTGTAATACCTAGAGATGCGAATTTTATATACCAATTGCTTCGCACTTAACAAATCACTTGCAATTATCTGTGTAAAACATTCTTTTAATAAATAAGTTTACATTGGATAGATAACTATTTTATATGTAATTTCGATATGGACGGTTCTAATGATTAATGATGACAACTTTGCTTAGGATATGATTGAATTCTGCCATTTTAACCACTGAGATGCATGGAAGAAGATAGTTTGAGTCGGCTTATTCATTTCTAAAATCTCTTCATTTGTTCCTACGTTCTGGAAATTCGAAATTTGATGGTCCGGTACTATGATGTTGGGAAGATTGCGGTTACAATTATTTCTATCACTTTCGGTATGAAATTTGATTTCCTTTGAAATAATGAGCATTACAGAATTCTATACTTCTTGCTTTCCATGTGCTCTAACTTTGAAATATAACTAATTATTTATCGTAGTCATAAACTAGCTCTATGACATGATAATGAAAAAGCTAAAAGTACAAATTCTCTCTAAACTGTTAGCAATATTAAGCCACTAAAATCCGTCTAAGAAATACTTGGGAACACTCACACGTACCCCTAATTCTACTAATCCTCAATGATCTGCACGCCTTTAGCTTTATGTTAACTACTATGCTTAAGAACTAACTATATTATAAAAAATACTGCGCTGATATACCCCTTTAGCAATAACTTAAAATTATTATTAGTACCGGTATCAAAATGCCAATAAAATTAGATATTAAATTCATATGTAAATAATTACTACGGTGATACTTAACAACATCGGTTTCCGATTACTAACACAGGACAGTCAGATTATAATATGTTCATTCACAGAATCAACTAGGCAAAATATGCAATCTAATGTGAATTAATCATAATTACGTATTGCGGCACAAGATGTGTAATGTATGAATTATCTCATAATCTGGGTAAAGCTATCTGTCAATAAATATCACTATCTTCTCTACGGTGAGAAAGCACTATGATAATTTATCATGAGAATTCTATTTATAAATTGCAATGCTAATCATTTAAGTTACTTTCATATTTTGATCTATTTTATAATTTAGTTTTATTTCATAATAGGTTATACAAAACTTAACATGACTGAATTCCTTTATTCCTGTATACTCGATTCATATTTGACCGTAAATATATATATATGTGAGGGTTTGATTGTTGATTAACTATAATCATATTGTAAGCAGTGCATTTACTGGTAATTGTAATAAACGTGTTCTACTAATGGTCATTAGAGAGTAGATCACACAAGTAATTTTATAATTGTAGATTTTATTACTGATTCTCTATCGATTAAGATACTGCGTAATAGTACAACAAGCTCTGACAGACAAGGAAAACTTCTTACGAAAGCAGATCTTAGAAAAGAAGAACTAAGAATAATAATAACACAAAAGCGTAGCTGCTTAAATACGTAATTTAACTTGTTTACAATATAACAATTGCGAAAAGCATCTTTTAACACTTACAAAACTTATTATGAGAATAAAATTCTACGATTAGTATCATATTCTACGAAGCTGAAATCAAAGCGCATAAAATCTTGACAATAATAGCATATCTAACAGCATCACTACACTCTTATTTTTCTAATCTGCTATGTTTCTATAAGCTTACGTTTTTACTAATGACTAGGTACATTTGCGTATAATCATTATTTTCTCATTTTAATTTATTCCTGGATTTGAGAGTTTTCTAGTTACTAACTATTCTTATTAGCTGTACATTCGCTACTTCTTTAAGTCGATTTGCGTACAAATTTAAAAATTCAGAATTTCAGCATTACCATAAAGCAGCACTTATTTAGTATTCTATTTTGTAATGTCAGAATACTTAATTCGTGGGTGACTAGCCCTTTGTTGTATTTATCACTCCTTATTTTGATTGAATTTAGTTTATTGCCTTAGAATCGAATAGGCTGGATAAAGCGATACCTGAATATATTTATTATTTGCTGTTTTGGTTAATTTTTTAATTCACTGGCGACTTACTATAATTTGTTAGTATCTGATTAGCTAAACCTTGCAGCACAAAGTTTAATTAGCCTTAAGCCATTTTTAAAAGTTTTCATTACTGATCTTTTTTTATCTATTTCAGTAGATTCAAATTTAATTAGTGAAATATTTTTGAAGCATATATATTACTTTATGTATTTCAACTCGTTCCGTGTGAAGTACAGTTTTATAAATGGCTACTTACGTGTACAATTTTCTTCGATTTTGATCCTTTTTCATAATTTTATTATTCTTAGATAATTACTGCAGTACAGCGGATGCTGTTTGGATTGCCATTAGGAAGTGAGTGCTCTATTTAATATTATATTAACTAGAGCACGCTATTAAATATCTCCCGGCGATAACCTTACAAATTTTTATAGTTCTAAAGGAGATTGATGTTGGTTAATTTCTGATCACTAGATATTTGTACTTTTCTGTTATCGTTTATAAAATTAGTAATTCGCTCCCAATTTTATGCATAATGAATAAATAGTGGACAAATCTTGGATTCGAAGCTATCCAACTTATCCAGTCTGCCATCATATTCCTGATATTCAGATGAAATTTTCTCAAGCTCGCACATACTGTCAGTCATACGGTGGCGATTTGGCTATATTCCAGTCTGGGAACATGAGCATTTATTTCAATTTTAAGACTATATTCTATAGCAATTTTGGCTTGCAAAATGATACCTGGATAGGACTGACTGATCTTCGCATATCAGAATCGGAAAATCAAGCTCAGTGGATTAATGGCCAGATAGCAAACACATCTAATTTACAACCAGGTCAACCTGATGGCGCAACAGAAGATTGCTATGCGATTAATGGAACTGGAAATCAAGAATGGTTTGATGATTACTGCAATAAATTGAAATATTTTGTATGTGAGAAAGGTACGCTGATATGATAGAATTTGGATGGTCATTAATAAATTAGATTGATGACGAATTTTAAGATTAAGATACAGAATTAGTTAACCTATATAATTAAATGTCATGTACTGTGATCGAGGTCAATATCATCAAGATAAAGATTGTTAATATATTCATTTTTCATATTTTTGAATTAGTTTGTAATGATTCTCACATTCAGTACGAAAATCGACACTTTTTTGTCTATGAATCTTGGGTAACTATGATAGTAGTCGACAAATTTGCCAGAATTACACCGAAGGAGGAGATTTTGCAATGCTAGATAATGCTGAGATAAATAATGTCTTCAATCATTATTTATATTTATGGTCCTCTTCGATGTGGATGGGACTGAGAGATATTAATAACGAAGATAATATAAATAAATTTGTTTGGGTTGATGGTACTTTGGCCGATACATATACAAATTGGGGTGCCTATATACCATTATCAGATCGAGATTGTGGTCTTATGGCAAGAATTGGTCAGGATTATAAATGGCTAAACCTTGCATGTAATATATTTTTGGCATCACTTTGTGAGTTCGGTAAGTGTAATCTTCATTTGTAATCCGCCTTTATTAAAGTAATATTGAATAATGATAATCTATATTTATATCATTCATTAGATCTCATTTCTTTCATTAGAATCAGCTTCTACACCAGTCTCACCTACTTCTGCTCCTTCTGCTATTACTACAGTGCTTTCTCACTACTATAAACAAATGGATATTGAAGCTGAATATACAGGTGCGACGGATATTGGTAGAATTTGAGAATAATTTAGACTAGTTTATAAACATTTAACAGGGCATAGATTCGCATAAATTATAATTGAACGTATAAGTCATATTCAGTATTATTAAAACTGAATCGAATTTATTCAAGCTCCTGTTTGTATAGAATTTATTACTTTATAATTCTATAAAAATAGATAGATAGTATATTAATCTAATAATAAATATAAAGTAATATACCTGATTTTAATGTAATTTAATCGGATACAAAATAATTGATATTCTACTGTTGCGATACTGTAGCGATTTTCAGATACATTGAATCCACTAGATGAGCTAGCTTATGGACAATGCAGTCTTTTGACCAACGTCCTGTTTTAAGTCATACTTTCTTTAGATATACTGTATACCTTACTACCGAAGCATACTATTGATAGCAAAGAGACATCGGACTGATACCTAAATTTTGCGTAGTACCATACCTGCTAGTAGCCTATTGGTTGAATAAATATTGCATTTTGTGATAATTGTGCAAATTTTGCTATTCATAAGGCTATTTTTTTACGACCGTGGTGATCGATTGATTATATTGTTAGTTTGGTAGTGTATATTTATAATGAAGGAAGTGGTAAATGCTAAAGAATAGCAGATAAAATATATGTTATACATATTTATTGTTATGCTATTTAATGTTAAACATAGCTACTGGTACTTTTGGACTCCTTGCTTCATCTAATACTTCCACACTGGTGCCAATAATTTCTTACCACGGGGTTTCACGCCTTCAGTGCGCTTTTTATTGCATGAAAAATACTATGTGTATTCAGTTTACCTACAATTATACCGTAGGTAATACTTCTAATGAAAATATTTGCACCCACTATTCAAACTAAAATTATAGTCTGGCAATGATCTTCTCAGAGTTTACATTAGAATTTACCTTACATTGTACTTTAAAAAAAGTTATGATATTTAATGAGCCGAAATTGCTAATAGCACGTTAAATAGACTTTGCAATTTTGACTAAAATCACTTTAGATTTCATGACTATAGTTAAAGACTGGAACGATGTAATCATAATGACATAGAAGTTTTACGTAATTTCAAGTATACAAAAACTGAATGTCAATTTAAATGCTTAGATGCATAGTTGGTAAGTATATTCTCGGTTATTGCTGTAAATATCAGTTACCACAATTAAGCTTTTGATTATTTGATATGTAGTGTCTTTTAATTTAAAATTCTCATTTAATTATGCTGCAATTGGAAAAATAGGAGATCTTTGTTGTCGCTAAAATATATCGTCTACTGTATGAGTTGATCGTATTGGCCTGTATGTAGTACTGATAAATGTAAACTTTATTATACCTTTCTTAAAAATTTGTTAACATTCAATTACGACTGAAGTCCGCGACTCCAATTTGTTTTCATAATCAAATGACGACTGATCCATCATGTTATATTAGAATACTCTTCTATTAGATAGTGATAAACGGCTCTAAGTCTCTAAATTTTGCACTTTATTTGAATTTGGGAGACATTAAATTATAATAAAGACCCTGAAAGTCACTGAATTACGGTGTGCTACGTCGACTAATCTTAGTCGTACTTCATTAAAGGTTTTATTGCAGATACTCAAAGTTGTAAGTCAAAATACCAATTTGTAACATTCGCTGCTATTACTTTCAATGTAAGACCTGCAAATAGAATACTCAGTATATCATCCTAGAAGACCTTAAAGAGTAGATTATTTAATTCATGTACACTTTTAGCCGAGATATCGAATTGAACAATTAAAGTTAGGATATACGGGTATCTGTAATGTGGCTGAAATTTTTGTAAGTGGAATACACCTTCCATTCTTTGATAATAAATTATGATTGTGGTATGAATTTTGCATAGATTAGCATACGATAGGAGTTATAATTAATTATACAATATTTCACAAACAGTAACCAGTTCTGATTCTTTTTCAAACTGGAATGACTAGTCAACCGGGGAGACCCTTTTAAGGATTTATTACGTAAGTTATAACAAAATAAATAATTTAAAACTGTTCAATATTGAGAATAAATTTGTGATACTAATGATACTTTTCAAGCTCATTATTAATGCAAAACCCAATCCTCTACCGTAACGAAAATATTTCTACAAATTAGTTCTACCAGCAGTCAATGCTATTAAAATTAATTACATGAAGATAAATGAATACCGAACATTAGAGCCACGTATACTAGGTACGGTCTGAGTAGATATATTTCGTCTTCTTATACTAGATGAGATAATAATGTTAGGGAAGCTATATTAATTTGATTTGGGTTATATTGTAAAACATACTTTTACGCACTTTCATCGGCAAGTTCATAGATAAGTTGTTGGTTTGTAGCCACTGAACAATTCTGCCTAAACATTCTAAACCGTAAATCGATTGTTGACTAATCTTAAAGATTATAACCTTTCATTAATCTCGGATATTTATTGACGTACTATGGCGGAGAATATTTTGCGTCCGCATTTTCCTTTTATCTATATATTTTTAATTCCTTAAATGATACTGAAATTAGTAAATAATTAAAGGGTTCACTGTGCTTTTACTTGTATATGGCTAGTCTTATTGTATTTTCTAGTTATTGTCTTAAAGCTATCTGCCGATTTCGACTTTACCTAATTTGTTCGTAAGCATTTTTAACGAATCGGATTCTTCACGTAACAGTTATGAAGAAGTTTCTTATGATTGTAGTAAATGAATACTCATTTCTCACCTTGCTGGTAAGCCAATCATAGCTTTTATCATCACACTGTTCTATTTAAATGAAACGTGTCCATTTTCTAGAGGATGATTTCCCTCCTCTTCATTATACCGATATCGATCACTTACTAGTAATTAATATTACTTCACTTGGTTTACTGCTAAGCTTAGTCCAAATTTTATACTTTCCATGATATCATAGATTTTCGTATCGATTTTAATTGGCTTTGGAACTGGATTACCACATTTGCGTATGTATAAATGGTTATTCCTTTTCGTATATTTCCTTTAAAAAGTTTATTTGATCACATTAATATTAAGATTGCATTTTTTTGATTATTTGTTAATTTCTCGTGATGTATAATAATTTTAAGACTATCTTATGTTAATTAGTTGAAAAATTTTGGTTTCGAACCGACAATACAACATCATCATGTTTTAGAGTCCCGAATTTGAAACTAAATTTCGATGCCTCTCGAATAGCGTGTATTGCTTTGGATGGCGATATTGCAGTTATGAATACGGCAGAAAAGTATAAAAATTTTACCAACTTCTTTTACGGTAAGCTTGGCCTCGATCAGGACTTATCAATAGGACTTAAAAATTATCATACAAACAACGGCAGAATAATGCAGCGATGGATCAATAACGCTTCCGTAGTCTATACCAATTTCT